CAGGTTTTGGTTATGATTAACCATTGTCTGAGAAACTCACAAATTAACTCGATACCAGAGTAGAGAGTTTTCTTGCTATATTCTTAAGTCAGAACAAGCTCAAAAACTTATGCGTAAGCTTACAACTAGCGCGAGCAGATCTTATTATTCATTCCCAGCGCGAGATTGAAGTCTTGTTTTCGACCCTGGAAAACCCACCTTTTCAGTTAGCTCAGAGCATAAAACTACACGTAAGCACCCTGGTTCGTATTCGCTGCCTTATTCCCTGCCATCGCTGTGAAAAATACGCCAGATGATCTCTCAAGGTCTCTCAACTCTCACCATTTGATCACGCAATGTGACAGCATCCACGCGAGAGCCCCCGACATGTGCGTGGATCCGCGCGGATATATGACGTCAGGACGGCGCAATTTGTTCCAAAAATAGAAAAATTGTCCCATGTCATAGATGCGCGCGAATCCCGAGACTTACGGTCTCCGTCTCCGATTATGGCTCCTGATGAGGGTAGTTAAAATCTCGCTCTTTGGGGAGCGAAATATTATCATTAGTCGTTTTCTGGACTGTTACTTCAATAGTGAGCATCTTTTCAATAAGACTCGACTTGGTGACTATTCATTGGTAACCAGGTGACCATTACTGTTGCAGTTTATACAAATTTCCAACCATACCTTGCCATAGGTCGAAGTGTTAATTCGACAAAATAAACTAGGATTGAATTGGAAACCTGGAGGAACAGGTGATCAATGAAAGCTTAGCTTTGCACGTGAAAAGATCACTACTTATTCAACAAAACGCTTAGTTCCTTTCTAGTGCAAAACAACAAACACAACCACTGCAAACCATTACCCTATTACTTATGTTTGACATTCTAGCGTGACCAGATAGTCGCGTGACACAAAAGGCCCATTACCTCATCCTTAGGTTTCGCGGGCTCAGGCTTGGTTATCTTATCTTTTAAATGCAGCTTGCAGACAACTCCAGCTTGGTTGAATTCACGGCAGTTGTGTCGTCCCCATTCCCTGTGTGAGCACAGCGCGATAGATCTCTCATCTCCAGTACATTTGACGTCATCCAACCAGAAGTCGTTAGTTCCGAGACCGAACGCTCCTGCCCTTTAAGAGCACAACAATAACAAAGTACTTAAGTTGTGTAGCACGTCACTGTCTGTTAACAAGTACTAACTGTTTAGAGACACGATCTGGCAACTCGTCTCTTGCCCAGTTTAGGTAGCCAGGGATATGCGTGCTCGGGTATGCGTGGGCGATATGGCAATTTCGTGCGTTTCTTGGTCAGTTTTTCCGTCAGTAAATAAACTCGAATAAGGCTTATGACCAGGAATTCGTTTACTGATTTCGAATACGATTTTGCTCAAAAGAACAAACAAATAGGTTGTTTCTTAAGACAATAGACCATTTTACAGTTGTCTGCTCAGTGAGGCTGCAGATGACCTTGGTTTGATAAAGACCTCACTGCTGTGTGTGTAAATCAAGTTGTTCTTATGCTAACTAATTGGCATTTAAATGAGAAAAGCAAAGGGGTCTGTATCAAAGTAAGGTCACCTCTAGCCTCGCTTGCATTCACATGCCTGTTCCTGCAATTGTTTACGCATATTCTTTAAACTAATATTGCACTCGGCAGATCAAAATCCTCTCGCTCGCCTAGATACGTCTCCACGCCTAAGCTTTACTGACTATCCTTATACCAGGAGTCATCCAGGGTTAGGAATCCAGTAACTTCGGGTTGGCAATTGTGTTGGAGTTAGAATTGGACTTCGAGTTGAGCCTCAGTCCTATCGAAAAGGCATGATAGTAGTTTTATTCTTCGTAAGTAACAAAAATAAAGCACATGATTAAGTTATTCTTGCCTCTTCTAATACTTAACTGGCGTTAATTCAACCAGGAAGAAGATATTTTGTTCAGAATAACACAACTGTTATGCTACCTGGTTACAAGTGGTGAGAGGGTTGTTGACCGAGAACGACCCAGTTTTGGCGCCAAATTTAAAGAGGGGCAAAAATTATTTTACATTTTTCTTTTTTTTTTAACGACCTGATATGGTTTCGGTATCCAGTGCAGAGGAAAGTGACCCGAGCTCAATCAGGACCACAAAGTTTTCCCGCTTGCTGAATGCTGATTGGCTCAGTACGAGCTGTTTGTGAGGATCTACCATTTCCCTCTCGCGCTTTCATTCGCGTCACGCTCTACCGACTAACAAAAAAAAATCAACAACAACCGAGGACTACTCGTGGTCTTAAATAAAAAGGTCGAAAGACTTCATAAATCGAAATCTAACTCGAACTCAATTTCCAACTCTATAATTTATAATTCCCACCCGGGGTGATGGACAAGGCTTTTAAATTGTGGCTAGAAATTGGGAGTGGGGTTGGCAGCCTAGAACAAAGTTGGCGCACCCGCAAAAATGTTGGCTGTAAGCAACAATAACAGTCATTGTTTCTTAAATACACACTCGGAAGTTTAAATTAATAGTTTGATCATTTTCAATTGTTTCACGAAATTCTCCAAACAGCACGATGAAAGAAGAATTGGTCCTTCCGCTTTCTTGTGGACCATCAAATTAAGCCTTTGACCGAGACCGGAAAGCGCTCGAGAAACGCCTTTGACACCCAAAGCCTACGAGCTGCTGGTTTCTCCTACTATCGGCGTTAGCAACTGCCCGCAGGGTGCTAAAGGCCAGACATGTGCTTAAGCTATTTTGTCTTTGTTTCGGGCCAAAATAAAAATGACCTTCAATATACAATGTTTCCTACCAAACCAGTTCTGTACCCCATTAAGGCCAGAAGGAGTCCTTTACTCAGCGTGATGGACGTCTGGTCGTCACGTAAAATAACTTTATTGCATAACAATATAACTTGACGTTTCGTTACCCGAAAGAACAATTGAAAAACAAATTGGAGGTTTATAAGATGTAAGTTTGGAAAAAAATGGACACGAACTGTTTTTACTCTTGGTAAAAGCTTACTATTGAAATCCGAGTCGTATAGTCTTGCTTTTAATAATGAAAATTTTTTCACCTTATGAAGCTGTGAACAGCAAATGTGAAGCATTGGTAGATTTGCGCTCGGCTCCTTGCAGAATTCTCTTTTGCTTTAACCTCCTAAATTAATCCTGGTTTTTACTTAAACTACAGGCTAGAAATATCGAGTCAGATAAACAAGCCTAAAAGTTTTTCAAGTGTTATGTAACAACCGAGTTATACTTACCCTTTGGTGTAGCGCAACATGTCTGGAAATCCGAGCATTCGACACACAACTTTCGCCGCTTTCTTGTCCCATCCGTGATCACAAACTGCTTTCCATTCTCCGTTGTGTTCCACTTCAACTCTGCCTTCATGACGATGTTTGCCTCCTCTCAGACGTATTCCAGTAAATCCGCTGACGACGCCGGCTAACAGCAGAACCAGAAGAACGCGACATAAAAACGCCATGTTGAGCTCACTACAACACGACAGAATACAAATGACTGGCGGGTTGACAAGTGTGTTATTTTACGTCTAAGTGAAGTGAAGACAAAGCGATAATCAAGGAAGTTTCAAGAGCTTCGACCTACGAAGTGAAAACGGAGTTTGGGGTCGCAGTGTTGCACAGCGAAAGAAAAACCCTAAGAAAGGTTTCTCTTTGCTGGCTCTAATCGTGACAGATCACCGTCGTGCCCCAAAATGAAATCAGATACACGTCTCTCCTCAGGAGGTACTCCGAGATCAGCTGAGCGCAAAAAATAACATATTAACAGCGTGAACACAGCCCTATTGCTCTAAATCTCCAGTCATCGAGATAACAGACAGTCTTTAGATAAGCACAGTTAAACAATTAAGTCGCTGTTTTTCAAGATCTTTCAAGGCAGTCGTGCAATTCGTCAGTCGTTGTGAAGCAACTTGCCTGAGAAAACTGCGCAGAATATTTACTCATTGCGATCATTGTACGATCTGGAACTAATTTATTTGGTTTATTTACTTTGTGAAATGCAAAGGATAGACGGAATTCCAGGGTAAGACAACGACACGAACAGGTCATGAAAATCCACTTTACAGGTCGCAAAACGCCACTTTATTCGATGTCGAAAGCTTTGAGTCAAAATGGTTTGTAGCGGTTTGTCCAAATCCCCAAATCCAAGGACGTTTTTCATTCTTAATAGACCCGAGTAATATTCTGCGGTGACAGAACAATTGAAATGCAATTACGCAAAGGTCGCTAAGGGTCCGGACGCACTGGACTGACAAAATTTGCTTGGCCCTTCCAAAAATCTCGACAAAATTTGTCTCTGCCAAATTTTTAATTTGTCAAGCGTGGGCGCACTGAATC